GTGAAATAAGTCAAGCAGAGAAAGTCAATTATCATATGGTTTCACTTATTTGTGGAACATAAATAATAGCATGGAGGACATTAGGAGAAGGAAGGGAAAAATGAAGTGGGGGAATCGGAGGGAGAGATGAACGAGAGACTATGGACTCTGAGAAACAAACTAAGGATTTTAGAGGGGAGGGAGGTGGGGGGATGGGTTAGCCCAGTGATGGGTATTAAGGAGGGCACGCACTGCATGGAGCACTGCGTGTTATACGAAAAGAGTGAACTGTGGATCACTACATCAAAAACTAATGATGTACTGTATGGTGACTAACATAACATTAAAAAAAAAAGATAAATTATGAGGGAAAAAAGGAATGGAGGGGGAACCTATAAAAAAACTCAAGAGACATTAATTTTTTTAATAGGCATGACTATAGTGCCTAGGGATGAACATTTGGAAGATAAAATTATAAAAATATACAAGCAATTACCATAAAAGTCAAGATAATGGTGTGCTACTGTAATGGTTATTTAAGGTGGGAAAAGCATTGTGATTGGAATGGGACACACAGAAGGGACTTCGAGGATGAATTGGCAAAGCCTTATCTCTTGACTTGGAGAGTGGTTTCAAGGTTATACTTTATAATAATTCATTAGGCAAAATAATTGTTTTTTGTGGTTTTCTGAATTTTCACTTTATAATAAAAAGATTCTTATTCTAAATGATGGAAATGCAGTTTTCATTATATCACAGTTCTTTATACTTTGCATATATTTTATAAATATTCTTTTGTACCTATTCAATATTAATTGAAAAGTTTTATTTTATTTTTTTTTAAGGTTTTATTTATTTATTTGACAGACAGAGAGCACAAGCAGGGAGAGTGGCAGGCAGTGGGAGAGGGAGAAGCAGGCTCCCCACAGAGCAAGGGAAGCCCGATATGGGACTCAATCCCAGGACCCTGGGATCATGACCCACGCCGAAGGCAGTCGCTTAACCAACTGAGCCACCCAGGTGCCCGGAAAATTTTTAAAGAAAAAAACATATTGTAATAATAAATAAAGACAAAAAGATTTGGTCCTAAAAAAAGAAAACTGTTCAAAACGAAAACTCATCTAGGGATGCCTAGGTGGCTCAGTGGGTTAAGCGCATCTGCCTTCGTCTCAGGTCGAGCCCCACATCAGACCCCCTGCTCAGAGGGGAGTCTGTTTCTCCCCCTTCCTCTGACCCTCTGGGCTGCTTGTGTGTGCTCTCTCTCTCTCTCTCTCCAAATAAATAAATATATAAATAAATCTTTAAAAAAAAATGAAAACTCATCTTGGTTAAGATCATAGTCCAAATGCTAAGTTGAACTCAGACCCTGCCATTCACCAATTCCCTAAGCCTCAATTTCCTCCTATGTAAAACTGGGATAATAAAAGATCTGAGGTTAACAAATAATTAAACACTATACTATTAATTCACCATATAAAAATGCATTTATTTTCCATTTCTAACATACCTTTTAATTTAAGCCAAGAAAGCATCCATTTATAGACAAGCAATTTTTTTTTCATTTAAGGGATCAAATAATCAAGAGCTATAATTCCTTACTACTCAATTACAGAAATCCCTTATAACAATACATAGCAGTTCATTTCTTTAGCAATGTATTTACTGAACCTAGAAAAGTACTTATCACACAGTTCACAAAACAAAGTCCCTGTTCTGAGAAGCTATTATTCTAGTAGAATGAGACAGACCAACATAAAAAGAAATAGATAATACGTGAGACAGTAATAAGCCTAAGAAGAAAAATAAAGAAGGATTATGTGATACTCATGGGGGAGGAGGTGCTATTTCAGTCAGGGAGACCTCTCTGAAAAAAGAAAAAAAAAAAAAAACAAGCTTTCTGGGGAAATAGTATTACAGAGAGAAGACTGCAAGCACAAAAGTACTGAGGTAGAAAAGCACCTTATGTGTTCAAGAAATGGTAAAACCAATGGTGGCTAAAACAATGAACAGGAGTACAGTGGAAAGACTACATCAGAAAGAATGAAAGGGAAGATATTGTAAGGTTTTATAGGCCATAGTAAGAGTTTTAGATCTTGTTCTTAATCAGGTAAGAAACTACTGAGCATAGGAGTAATATATTCTAATTTATTTTTATTTTTATATTTTTTAAGCAGGCTCGACACCCAGCATGCCAGCATGGAGCCCGACACAGGGCTTGTACTCATGACCCTGAGATCAAGACCTGAGATCAAGAGTTGGACACTTAACCTACTGCGCCACCCAGGCACCCCTCTAACTTATTTTTAAATAATCACTTTGTCCATGCAAGAAAGAGTGGTGGTTAGTATACAGGAGCAGAAGTAGAAGTGACAGTAAGTGTCAGACTCTGGATATCCTACTTTTTATATAGTTTCAGCATTATAAATTTATTTATAATATATAATTATAAAATTATAATAAATTAAATTATAAAATTATAATTACAATAAATGCTAAGCTAGTATCTTTTTAAAATATTGTTATAGAAATAAAAGTGCTTGAGTAAGCCTTTTAAAACACAGCATTATACCCCCTAGGTCCATCCATGTTGTTGTAAATGGCAAGATCTCATTCTTTTTTATGCCTGAGTAATATTGCACCATATATATGTGTGTATATATATGTGTGTGTGTGTATATATATATATACACACACCATATTTTTTTATACATTCATCTATGGATGGACACTTGGGTTGCTTCCATATCTTGACTATTGTAAATGATGCTGCAATAAACAAAGAGGTGCATGTATATTTTCAAATTAGAATTTTCATTTTCATTTTACCCAGTAGTGGAATTACTAGATCATATAGTAATTCTATTTTTAATTTTTTAAGGAGCCCTCATTCTGTTTGCCACAATGGCTGCACCAACTTGCATTCCTACCAACAGTGAAAGAGGGTTCCTCTTTCTCCACATCCAGGCCAACACTTGTTTCTTGTGTTTTTCATTTTAGACATTCTGACAGGGTGTGAGGTGATATCTCACTGTACTTTTGATTTGCATTTTCCTGATAATTAGTGATGTTAAACATGGACCTAGATGGTATAATGCTATATAAAATAAGTCAGTCAGAGAAAGACAAATACACTATGATTTCACTTATATGTGGAATTTAAGAAACAAAACAAACGAACAAAGAAAAAAAGAGACCAAAACACTCTTAAATACAGAGAACAAACTGCTGGTTGCCAGAGGGCAGCTGGGTAGGGAGGTGGCTGAAATAGATAAAGGGGTTTAAGAGTACACTTATCATTATGAGCACTGAGTAATGAATGTATAGAATTCTTGAAACATTTTACTGTACACCAAAACTAATAAAACACTATATGTTAATTGTACTTACTGAAAGAAAGAAAGAAAGAAAGAAAGAAAGAAAGAAAGAAAGAAAGAAAGAAAGAAAGAAAGAAAAGAAACACATAGCAAGACTATACTTTAAGAGATGGTTAAACAAGTCTATGAGAGATAGGGGCACCTGGCTGGCTCAGTTGGTAAAGCATGCACTCTTGACGTCAGGGTCATGAGTTTGAATCCCATACTGGGAGTAGAGTTTACTTAAAAAACAAACAAACGAACAGGGACGCCTGGGTGGCTCAGTCGTTAAGTGTCTGCCTTCAGCTCGAGTCTTGATCCCAGAGTCTTGGGATTGAGCCCCACATCGGGCTCCCTGCTCCACGGGAAGCCCTCTCCCACTCCCCGTGCTTGTGTTCCCTCTCTTGCTGTGTCTCTGTGTCAAATAAATAAAACCTTTAAAAAAAAAAAAACTAATTTATGAGAGATAGTGGCTGTTAAATGTCAAGGCTCTAAAGTCAAATTTCCTGGTTTTGATCCTAGTTCAATCACTTACTAAACATGTAAATTTTAGCAAAGTTTCTCGATACCTCGGTTTTCTCATCTGTCAAATGCAAAAAATGGTTACCTTATATGACTCTTATGATTAAATATGAATATAAAGAATTTAGCTGATATATAGTTAACAACTCAGTAAATATTAGCTATCAAATTTATTATTCTACTTCCACTTGTTTCCACTGCCACAGGTTTCCACTATTAACTTTTTCCCATTGTCACTACTATTTATAATATTCCCTTTTAAGACTGGTTACATATTCATTTAAAAAATTATCACAATAAAAATGAACTTTAAGTGCTCCTAACATTATATATTTGATTTTTTTTTTTTAAAGATTTTATTTATTTGACAGAGAGAGAGGGAACACAAGCAGGGGGAGTGGGAGAGGGAGAAGCAGGGCTCCCGCTGAGCAGGGAGCCAGATGTGGGGCTCGATCCCAGGACCCTGGGATCATGACCTGAGCCGAAGGCAGATGCTTAATGACTGAGCCACCCAGGCACCCCGATATTGTTTTTAATCAAAAGTATAGTTTCTGCTTCAGAGGTAGCAAAGCACTGATTGTATTATAGTTTTTTTTTCCCAGCTTGATGGATCAATCTTAAGGATAACTAAATATTTTAATTTGTAAGAATCCAAAGCAATTCCTGCTAACATTTTTTCTTCACTTCAAAACTAAATTAAAAACAAAATTAATGTTAAATCCCATAAGGCTCTGAAAAATCCAACACGGACTATGACAAGAACGATTATTACATATGAATCATAATCACTTGGATTTTTGTGTAGTTGGTCACATTCTTGATTTTATCCTGTTGTATATCTGTGTGTATGAGTTAGATAAACTGTTTGGGGCCAAATATTTGGTGTCCTGTATCACATCTGACAAGCTTCCAACTAAAGATATATACGATAGTAACAATACTTGCCTCTGGGACAGGATAAAAGCCAAGGGTGAGAAAGAGACACACTTTGCACTTAAAAACATTGGCTTTATCTAGGTTCCTTCCTTTGCACATGCATTCACTTTTCAAGAACATAAAATAGGTTTTAAAGAAAAAAATTCATTTACTAAGAATTTACAAAACAATTTTTAAAATGTCTCACAGTTCATCATAACAGCAGCTTACCAGATTGAAGATGCCAGTAATATATTAGTGGTGTTTGCAAGAAACCTCAACGGAGGCTCTGCAAGCAATACACAGGATAAAATTCCTCCACCAAAGCAATGGAGCATAGCAGTAAACCAGCTTGAAAGAGGATTCTTCCGTGCCACTGCCGCAGCTCCTGAAATGGTAAAGTAAAAATGTGGTCTGAGATAATTGTATACTAAACAAATCCTAAAGTCCCAGTGGCACTAAAGAAATAAACTTAATTTCTTAACTTTCAAAAGCTTACTATTACTCATAGGTGTGACAATCACAATCATCATAAACTCTATCTTTTGTTCTTTAAAGCAAGACTGGAAACATTTTAAGACATACGTGATTTGGGCCACCTTTAAAATACTCTGTTCAGGCTCTTACTGCCAGTTTCCTAGTAGCACATTATTATAAACAATCTCCCTACTTACTCTCTCCTTTTATTCCCAGCCTTATTTAAGTACTTCCAGTTGATATGTCACAGCATATTTTAAGAAAAATTTATTATCTTAAGTACTTTGGAAAATAAAAGCTGAAATAAACAAACTAAGCTTTTAACATGACAGGCTAGAAACAGAGTAACAAAATAAACCCAGAGGTGAAAGGTTGATGAGGAACAGATATATACATAATCTTAAAATGCCTCCTAACAATTTATTAATTACAGAGGGAAATAGTAATTTTAGAGTGGAGAAACCTTGCAGATATCACTGTAAACAAACATCAGATGACTCCTGTTATGATTCACTAAGAACACATCTTTATTTCTATAGTATTGCTACCAAAAACATACAACCTGAACTAATCTAATCAGATACACCCAAACTGAGGGCACTTCTGGGAAAAAAACATGGCCTAAACTTTAGCAATGTCAAAGTCAAGAAATTAAAAAAAAAAAAAAAAATGCTCCAGATTAAATAACATTATGTCAAAGTCAAGAAATTTAAAAAAAAAAAAAAAATGCTCCAGATTAAATAACATTAAAGAGACAACTACATGCAACGTATATTCTAGATCATATCCTGGAGTGGAAAAGAATATTTATAAATGACCTTTTTGGATGACTGATGAAATCTAAATATGGGCCCTGGCTTAATAATGGTGTTGTATCACTGTTAAACTTTCTGATTTTAATAACAGTTCTGTGGTTCTTAAATATTAACACACTTAAGTAATTTGAAGTAACTGGGCAAATGCTTCCAATTTACATTCAAGTAGTTCTGAAAAAATAATATGCATAAATAAAAACGTTTAAAGAGATGTTAAAGTACAAACTTCTAGTTATAAAATGAGTAAGTTCTGGGGATCTAATGTACAGCATAGTGACTACAGTTATTCAAGTGTACTGTATTGTACACTTGAAATTTGCTAAGACAATCGTAAGTCACCACCACCAATTAAAAAAAAGGTAACTATGTGAGATGATGGATGTGCTAATTAACTTGATTGTTATAATCATTTAGCAATTCATATGAATATCAAACCATCAAATTGTACATTTTAAATATATATAATTTTGTCAATTATACCTCAATAAAGCTGGAAAAAAAAAATGGGGCAAAATGTAAATGGTTGGTGAATCTAAGTATACATGAATTCCTTGACCTATTCTGGTAACTTTTCTGAAAGTATGAAATATCAAAGGGAAAGTACAAAAAATATTAAACTCAGCCAGAGAAATAGAAACAATTTATAAAAATAAAAGTAGAAACCCACTAAAGAGAAGCTAGAATAGGGAGATGGAGATGGGCAATCAATAAAGCCAACCCAAAGCTGTTCTTGAAAAGACCAATAAAACCAACCATTGTTCAACAAGTCTGAGAAAGGGTAGGAACAAAAATAATGCAAAACATTAGAAGGAAAATTAAGGAAATAGTTTTATAGGGTTTTTTAATTATAGGAAAACAACATGCATTTAATCTAATAAATGTGAAGATGTAGTTGAAATGGACAATTAGCAAAATTCCCTTAGGATAGAAACTTGTACATATAACTATGGAAAAAAAACTACAAGGCAAAGATCTATCTTAAGAAAGGTGTTAACCCCAATAAATTAATGGAAAACATTTACCAAATATTTTTGGATTACTCATTTTTATGCTATATAACCATTATGGAATATAGCAAAGGAGAAAAACTTAAATCATTCTATGAAACAACATAATCCTAACATCAAAAATTATAAAGAAAAAAAGAGAGTGAGAGGGGAAGGAGGAAAGGAAAGAGATAGGAAGGGAGGGAGGAAGGAAAGGAAAAAGATACACTATAATTCTAACTTATGAGTATAATGCACCAATATATTAATAACAAATTGAAATCAGTAGTTTTTTGAAAAGATAATAAATCATGACCAAGTAGATTTTATCCAAAGAATTAAAAAAGGATTCAATATTTAAAAATTCATTTAAATCATTCACTATGCTAACAAATTATCATCTCCCCTTTAGACAGTTAAAGACTTAAAAATTCAATATTCCTGATTTTTAAAAAAATCTAGCAATCTAAGAACAGAAAGAAAAGTACTTAACCTGAATAAAGCTATAAAGGAAAAGACTTTTTTGACCTCACCAAAATTTTTTTTAATTTTATGTTATTATGTTATGTTAATCACCATACATTACATCATTAGTTTTTGATGTAGTGTTCCATGATTCATTGTTTGCGTATAACACCCAGTGCTCCATTCAATATGTGCCCTCTTTAATACCCATCACCAGGCTAACCCATCCCCCCACTCTCCTCCCCTCTAGAACCCTCAGTTTGTTTCTCAGAATCCATAGTCTCTCATGGTTCGTCTCCCCTCACTAAAATTTAAAACTTCTATATGACAAAAGTCTGGCATAGTGTTTTTCAACTTACATAAGGCAAATTCCAATAAATCAACAGAAAAAGACAACAAACACAAGAGAAAAATGAGCAAGTCACAAAGTGGGAAATATAAATGACTAATAAACATACCAAAAAAAGAAAGTCCTCCCTCAAATCACCAGTAAGCAAGGAAAAACAAAATTTAAAAAGATGTTATATTTTTCACACATCCAACTGGCAAAAAAAATTTACAGCTTAATATTTATTAATATTAACTTATTAGCTGGAAAAGGTGTGAAGAAATTCATATACTCCTGTAACAGTATTAAAAAGTCATTTTAAGGAATAATTTGGGAGTATAAATTTAAATTTTTAATTTAAAACGGACTCAAGTGCCCAAGAAATTTCATACAAGAACATTAAAGCAGTGTTGTTTATAATGCTGTGAAAAAAATGAAAAAAATCTAAACAACCATCATCAGAGAACAGTTAAACCATAATCATTTGTTCTATGGAATACTATACAGGAGCAATCAAGAGTGTGATAAAGCAACATCAACATGAGAAGATCCCTAAGACATCCTATTGAGTAAAAACAAAGAACCAAATACAATGATGTTGAACACCAATATTACAGCATGGAGTCATTTATTTTTTGGAATCATTTATGAGCAAAAATGCAAACACTATACATTTCTATAGGTACATGCATATATATGAAATGCACAGAAAAGGGTCTGCAATACACCAAAAATGTTAACTGTTATTATCTCTTGAGAAAGCCTAGGATATGGGAGGATGGTCAAAGGAGATTTAAATTTATTTAATTATACTGATTATGTTGTTTAATCATATTTGAATTCTTTTTAAATAAAATGTTCATTTACTAAATGTATAATTAAACAAAATTTTAACAAATTATGTCACTCCCAATCTGTGGAATACAATGCATCTATTTAAAAGAATATAGCAGCTTTACATGCACTAATATGACAAAAAATTCATATGTATATAAATAATATGTACAGTAAGAAATCATTTACAGGAGGAAAACAGAAAACCATGTATTTCTATCAGTACATATATAAGTAATACATAAAATAAGGTCTGCAAGAATATATAACCAAACTATTAACTGTTGTTATCTCTTAGGAAAAGGCACATTTATGCAAAAACAAAACAAACTACATAAATGTATGTGTGAATTCAGTAGAGTAACATCATCATACTTGGAAATTCATCTGTAGGTGCTCAGGAAAAAAAAAGGAGATAAAAGTCAAATAGTACAACCCACCATTCCACACAACAAAATGTGCCCAGGAGTGAACATGAGTTGGCAGATGTGCATTTTCTGTGGAGTACACATCCTGTCAAGTGAAGTGATGCCAAGGTTTAATGATATGCATCTAGTGATAACTCAAGAAATGGTGACCTATTCCAATCTGGAAGAAAAATCAGTTATGAGAAATGTACTAAAAGGCAGGACATCAATCTTCAGTGTAGCAATTTCCCCTAAACCTAAGAATTTTCAAGAATTATTTTGATAATACATGATCATGCTCTCTTTAAAGCCAAACTCCCACACAAAATGTGATACCACTATGTCTCTACCTAAATATTATGACCTACCTAAATATGTGTATGGGCAATAGAGCACCACGCAGTGGTGACTAATTATAACATTGGTCAGTCAGCCTAATAAATGAGTATAATCTTTTCTTTAGGTAATGGTCACTAACTCCCATACTGCACCATATTCATGTTGAAAAGCAATACAGAGGGGCCCCTGGGTGGCTCAGTCAGTTAAGCATCTGTCAACCTTCAGCTCAGGTCATGTTCCCAGAGTCCTGGGATAGAGCCCCAGGCCTGGCTCCCTGCTCAGTGGGGAGTCCACTTCTCTCTCTCTCCCTCTGCCCCTCCCCCCATTTGCCTGCACCTGTCTCTCTCTCTCTCTCAAATAAATAAAATCTTAAAAGAAAAAAAAAAAGCAATATAGAGTGCTTAAGGGTATAAATCCTGGCACCAGCCCGTACTCTATGTGAACTCAACAAGCTAATTGTTAGCTTTCCCACAACTTAAAAAAAAAAAAAAAAAAAAAAAACGCATACACACAGAAGAGGTAAAGAAAAAAGTAACCTACATCACAGGGTTGTTATAAGGATCAACTAAGGATCAATTACAAGTGAGTACTTTGAAATCATTTAGAATGGGGGCCTAGCACATAGTAAGCAACTAAGTATTAGCTTATCACTATTATTACATAAGTAAATAAAAATGAAAAGCAAAATTACCCTCTCCTATTTCTGCCATTCTATCACACTCCTATTCTGAGTTGTC